GATGTCTTCTTGTCGCCCTTCGCCTCCGTCTCCCTTTTCGGAGACACTGGCTTGCCGTCGGCTCGGCCGAACTTCTCGAGGCGATCCTCGTACTCCTTCAGAGTGAGGTTGAGGGCCATGGGAGTCTTCAAGCCCATCTGCAACATCGTGCCCTTGATCTCCATGATCTTGCCGTTGACAACATCGGCGCTCATCTCCTCCGGCCTTGTGTTCTTCTCCAAGGAGCTCAATGCCAGCCGGATGATCTGAGGATCCGGGCCCATTTGGCGGGTCTGCCCATGCCCTGCCTTCTTGACCACGTATGTGGTTCGAAGGCCGCACCTGGTACAAAGAGTCCAGGTGGCGAACTGGTTGGATCTCATCTTGCCGTCCTTGTGACCACCGAAGCAGGGGAATCCCGTATGGCGTGGATCGTCGCATGCCGATGGAGTCTTCTCTGGAAGGGTCTTGTCCATGCTCACGGGAACGAATCTGCCGGAGATCTTTGAGCCGTTGAGCCAAGAGCTGAAGACGACTCTCGATGGAAGGTGGATCACAAACATACGGATTGCCGCCAACAGGATGAATGCTCTTCTGCAAAAAACTCTTCATGTGCTTGCGAACTCATACGTGAACATGGTGACATCACAAAAACTGACTGCTCATGTGGTGGCTGCTGCTCAAAAGATGCTGCGCTTTCAATGTTTTCAACTGTCGCCAGGGTCCAGACCTCTTTGGCCGAAGTCACTGGCGATGCTTCTGCTGCCAGGTCGATGGTCAGGTGACCTGACGAGAGAGCTTCCAGCTGAACTGCACTGGCTTCCTCCTTCTCAGAACCATGATGCTCTGCATCGGGCTGAAAAAACAAACATGCCATTGTGGTAGGAGATGAGCACATTTTTCTTCCGAAGCAGCTTTGCTCCAATGAGAGGAGGAGTTGAAGCGCCAGTACCATCCAGTACGAAAAAGGACATGGAGCCTAATGAAGTTCCCTCCAAGTCCACTCGACTGACCGCTCTATCGGTCAGCCCGTTCCCAAAACGGAAAGTGGGCAAATTCTCCCGGGAAACAGAGTACGAAAAGCTGGCTGAATTCACCAAGTCGCTAAGGGCGTTGATGCCCACTGCATTTTCAGTTGCACCAGTATCGATGATGGCTCGAGTGGCTCCTCGTCCATGCAGGGTGTGGGAATCCCAATGCACAGTGAAAACCATTGGCTCTACAAAAAAGGATGCCTTGCCACCAGATTTGCCCTTGCCCTTGGAGCTCTTCCCGAAACCTTTTCCTTTCTTTCCTTTGCCCTTGCCACCAAAACGGTCAGGGCACTGAGCATAGCCATGGGTGTTCTTGCCGCAGATGAAGCAGGGACCGAACCCACGGGTCTTTCCCTTTCCACTGTCTCCCTTCTTTCCTTTCCCTTTGCCCAGCATCGAGGACGTAGGTGTCATCCCCTTGCCAGAAGCACTCTCAGGAGAGTAGTAACCCCTTGCTGCACGAACTCTTTTGACTGCGTCACGGGCTTCACGGAGAGTTCTTTGGGCCTCATTCGCTAAGGCGAAGGCCTCCTGAAATTGCTTCTCCTCTGGCACCTCACTGGTAGCGTCCGGCTCGAAGTCATCAGGCCATGCTTCATCTTGCCAATCGAGTTCGACCCAAGGATCACTCCAGTCTTGCCAGTAGGTGGGCTCATATCCATCGTCCCAACTGACAGGACTCCAATCATGTTGCTGCCAGTCAAGCTCCTCATATCCATCTTCCATAGCATAGGCCTCAGGGCCACAGTCTTCTTCCAACATCCAGGCAGTACGTCGTCGTTCATGAGGTTGCTGTTGACTTGCTTCCACATCATCAGAAAACAAAGTCCGGAGGGCCAACCTCACCTGGTGATAGTGAGTACTGTTGGCCGTCTGCGTCAAGACGTTCTGTCTCTCAGAGGTTGAAAGTCGAGCGGCCTTCAACAGTCGATATCCTCTCAACTCATCCTCAAAGAACGAGGAAATCCGGGCGTCAGCTGATTCTGAAACCTGTCCTCTTGCTCCTGCAACTGGAGATTGTGAGGGAGTGGATGGAGGATCAACTCTCGTCGGCTGCGGCTGTCCAAGAAACGCGGCACCAATCAAACCACTCGTCATATTGCGAGATCCGGCTTTCGACACGCGTGCACGTTCCAATGACTGTTGCAGCTGAACAAAAAGGTCTTCTTCTCTCACTAGCAGCTCTGGAATGGATTCACGGGGTTGTCGCTTCAAATGATGCCAGGACTCGAGTCGGCTGAACGAGTCGGGAACTGGAAGTTGCTGAAGCGGAGATGCTCGAAGGACATCCAGCAAGCGAGACAACCCATCAGCATCTTCATAGTCTTCTGGAGGGAGATGCTTTACCACCGCCTTCGCAGCGCCAGACAATCTCTGCCAAACCTTCGATGCAGCTAACTTCTGCTCGCTATCTTTGAGAGATCTTTGGTACCACTTGCAAGCGATGGCGAATGCTTCAAAGGAAGAAGCATTTCCATCCCATGTCGGGATATCACCTCCACCAGCAGTTGTCGAAGATGCCATCCCCCTGGAGCAACAACTGCTCCGCTACCATGCACTTGGTAGGGAGCAAGGGGTCAAGCAAACAAAGGTACACTTCT